GAAGGTAGGGTGAAATCCAAAGTTTGCAAAGAACGGGGATTGAGACGTGGCGGAATGAACAGAGTTGTTGTAAGCAAACTCAGCAAATGGGAGCAAGGACACCCAGTCGTCTTGAGAAAACGAGAGGAAGCACCGGAGATATTGCTCCAACGTTTGATTGGTGCGCTCTGTCTGGCCATTAGTCTGTGGATGGTACGCTGTGGAGAAGTTGTTGGCAACCCCAAGAGACTTGCACAATTCACGCCAGAATTTGGAGGTAAATTGGACACCCCGGTCAGAAACAATATTGCTAGGAAGGCCATGGAGGCGCACAATCTCCTTGAAGAAGGCACGGCTGGTATCAGAGGCGGTCGGGGTGCCGATCATTGGGACGAAGTGTGCGATCTTGGTGAGACGATCCACCACCACGAAGATGGAAGTGAATGCATCAGAAGGCGGCAAGTCCACGATAAAATCCATGCCGATCATATCCCATGGCCGGGGTGGAATGGGAAGCGGCCGTAACAGGCCCCAGGATCGGCAACGTTCAGTCTTGTTACGGAGACAGATGACACAAGAGCGGACGTACGACAGGCAATCCTTCCTCAACCCCGGCCACCAGAAGGACCGCCGCACCAAGTCAATCGTCTTGCGAACTCCGAAGTGACCTGCCAGTTGATGATCATGACACATCTGAAGAACCATGACACGAACCTCGGGTGGTATGAACACCAAATCGTTCAGAAAAAATAATCCCTCCTCACCAAAATAGGATGAGCAGCCCCTTCCAACAAATAACGCCATTCTTCTAGAGCTGCTTTAATCGCCAGCAGTTCACGATCACCCACATCGTAATTTAGTTCCGAAGGGGTAAGTTTCCGGGAAAAAAATGCCACAGGATGGAGTAAGGATCTTTCGCCCTGTCGCTGGGACAGGATAGCTCCGACCGCAACCTCCGAGGCATCTACCTGAAGAACATATGGCAAAGTCGGGTCAGGATGTTTCAAGATTGAGGCAGAGGTGAACAGTTTCTTGAGGTCGTCGAAGGCCATCTGGGCCGAAGGGGTCCACTGGAAATGTGTGTTCTGCTTGGTAAGCTGCGTAATGGGACTATAAATCGCCGAAATCTTTTTGATACATTTTCGGTAGAAATTTGCAAACCCCACAAAGCGTTGGACACCCTTGCGAGTGACGGGGTTGGGCAAGTCCAAAATGGCAGCCACCTTTTGAGGATCCATGGCAATGCCCCTGGTTGATATGATGAGACCCAGGAATTGGACGGAGTCCTTTTCAAATTCGCACTTCTCGGCTTTCACGTATAATTAGATGGTTTTGTCTGCATCGCTGTCGTTCCTCGGGAGATAAGGAAGATCGGACCAACCCGAGTTGCATGGGTTCCAGATCTGGCATGGAGTTACCAGCAGAGAATTCCTGAGCAGAAGCTGAAGGAGCAAATGATGCACGAGGAAGTGCCCAAGGGACCCGGGTGACTCCGGATCTTTCAAGATGTCTCTCCCGAATCCTGCGGTCTAACTGAATGGCCAGGCAAATAAGTCCTTCGACTGTATCGGGGACCCCCACACGAGCGATCTCATCCTTGAGAACCTCAGACAAGCCTAGGCGGAACTGGTGTCGGAGAGCGGCGTCATTCCATTGCGTATCTGCGCCCCATTTGCGGAATTCCACAACGTAGTCCTCCACAGGACGTCGACCTTGCTGCAGAGAAATGAGGACTGTCTCGGCGGTAGTGGATCTCTGGGCATCATCGTACATCTGGGCCAAAGCCGCAAAGAAGGTAGGTAGTGAGTTTAGAATGGTGCCCTCTTGCTCCAGCAGATGGTGTGCCCATGACTGGGGTTCTCCAGACAGCAGAGATATCACAAATCCAACTTTGGTGAGATCAGATGTGAAGGTGCGAGGTTGAAGATTGAAATATAATTGGCATGGATTCTTGAACGCACGTAACTTTTGTCTTTCTACGGAAAAACGTTCAGGTGCTGGTACCCGAGGTTCTGGTATAGCTGGAGTAGCTGCGGTTGCAGGGGGAGCGGCCTCTGGTTCTGCAGGAGCAGCAACACTTGGTGGTGGTCTGGCCGTGACCGAAGAGACTAGTGCCCCCACCTGTCCCTCCAATTGGAAGTAACCATCCTGAAGACCTTGAACCATCTGATTGAGAGTAGACAGTTGCTGGAACAGGGCCTCCATGGAGAACGCACTCCCCTCAGTCTCAGACATTCTTTTGGCTGATGGTACTATCACGTACCTGAGGCTGAGACTGGAAGATGGGGAGGTGTCTCTTGCGAATTGTGTCCTGCAACCCCTGGAGTTGGGAACAGAAGGGTGCAGGGCAACGAGGAGCACGAGTGCCATAGGCTGGAAACACCCACTGCGCGGGGACAACAGTGAAGAGAAGTCAGAAAGCCAAGGTCAAATCGGATTGTGCAGGCGAGGTACAAAATCGTAAGGCAAACTCAATATCCAGGAAACAAGCCGAGGTCAGGGGCTGGCAGCAATCAGAGAATAGTCCAGAGCAATCCGAGTCAAGGCAGGCTAAAGTAACAGATACAGAACACAGGCACAAACACTAAGCTGACAAGACCATCAGCAATGCCAGAGAGGCTGGCTCCTCCTTTTATAGTCCCAAGGCTCACAGACAGCTACCTCACTTCCTGTGCGTTTTCCCGCGCATCTTGCCGCGATTCTCGCGCATGCGCAGTTTGCGGCGATTCTCGCGCATGCGCAGTTTGCCGCGATTCTCGCCGTTTGCAATCGTGCCTTTACACATACATTTGCTTCAGCTGCTTGGCATATCTCCATTGCTGTGATCGCTGCTTGTTGTCACTACCTGGCATTATATCCAAACTGTATGGAACCTATATGAACTCAATATAGAAGCTCTCCATAGTGAAAAACTTATTGCTGTAGAGACCAGTTTAGACCACCTGTTGATTTCATCTCAGTGTGCATACTTACTACTGTTGGGCCTATCTAACCACCATCTGTTTATACAAGTAGCAATTGCTGTTTCATGCCTTGATATTGGTGTACATATGAATTAAGGGGAACTCTACCAAGAGCTGATGCTCATGATTAATCATACTGACACTGTATATTAGACATGTACAGGGGGAAAAAATAGTTTCGGACAAAACAAATGAAAATTAAAAACATTTTCATTTGTTTCGTCAATGAAAACTAATTTTAATGCTGTTTCGGAATCGAAGGCAATGAGCCTCCGAATCTGAACAAAGAAACTGCAGAACGAGTGGTGGCCTTATTGGCCACAAGTGCATTCTGTGCATGTGTGCCGCCATTTTGCAGTATGTCTTGGTATACACCAAGATGGTGGCACCCGCATATGATATACTCCAAAATGACGGTGCGCAGGTGCAGAACACGCTGGCGGCCTATCTGGCCGCTGTTCGCTCTGCAAATAACAACACCCAACGCCGCACATGCGTGGCGTCATGTGATGTTATGCACCCCACCTCCAAGATGGAGGAGAGCATGCACAGAACGTGCGGGCGGCCAATATGGCCGCCGTGCGTTTTGATAACTCATTTTTATATTCTCGAATACCGTTTTAGTAAATTTGTGTATGTAAAAAAATTTGTTATTTCGGATTTGGACGAACCGCCGAATCAACTGAATTTTGTTGATTTGCAGGTTCGTCCGAATTATACTTTAAAACAGGGATGCACAAGCCCCAGGAGCCCCGTAGCCAATGCTCCTTACAAATGACAGCTGCCTCCTAACTTTTGAGTTTTTCTCTAGTCTAGTCTTGGAGCTGGAAAGGAATCTGTAATTGTACCAAGTACAGTACTTGGTATTTGTGCATCCCTACTTGTAGTGACTTATAGGCCAGAGGATGGAACCACAGCCCAAAGCACTTCAACGGAGCAAAGATAGGAGACACAAGCCATATTTTTTTTGGCTGATGAAGAAGTTGCTTTACATCCAAGCTTTAGAGTTTCAGGCATCTTTTAAGTGTTTTTTGGGTGTTTTAACTGCATTGTCTCGCGTTTTTGGCTTGTGCTGTGCTCCAATTTGTTCACCAGCCAGCCAATCACAATGCAAATCTAGAAGCCAGGCGGGATTAATTTGAACCCCTAGAGAAGAATGAGCAGTTTATCCATGCACTGCAATGGTAACCCCACTGCAAGGGTTCATTTTTCTAAAACCCGAAGTTCTTCTTTAAATGGTTTAGGCGGGGATAGCCTCTTGGTGGGCAAGGCTTCATTAAAACCCTGGCCTAGGATCCAAGGAAAGCCACAGGGACTCCAGTATGGATTTGGAGATTATTACCCTGGATTTTACAGTATCTATTCTCACCTTAAGCAGGCTTCAGGCCAGGACAGGTTCACTCAGTGGCGTCACACGGAGGGTGCGGGGGTTGCGGCCCGCACCCGGGTGACACCATTGGAGGGGTGACACCAAAATGACTTACAGTCATTTTGGTGTCACCCCCCTCTTGAAAAGTCGGGCGCTCGGTCATGCACCGAACGCCCGACAGTATCAGGAGAGAGGAGGGGACCTGGCGGCATACCTTATACCGCCGGGTGACTGTCTCCTCCTCTCTTCACCTGTGGGTGTTTGCTGCAGCTTTAGATACCTAAAGACTACCTGATTGTCTAAAAACAGCAAGATCCTTTTATGTTCATAAGTACAAGTGGGGGCAGCATACTGTATTTACATATGCACTTCAAATAAAGTCTTTACATTACAGTGAATATCCCAACAAAAACTGAATAATTCTGATTTAAAGTAATATGGATATGAAATAATTCACATGGGTGTAAATGAACCTTAAAAGGACATTGGTGAACTGGAGGAGGTCCACAAAAACATTGTTAATGTACAGTATTTGCATGCTTATTATTAGCAACACATGTGTAGATCATTCATTTAAATTGACTGTAATGTAGAATTTCCTACACATTGCTCCTGAAATAATATATTATCAAATAAATAACAGGTTTTGCTAATAAAAGTTACTCCTATTGTTTTTGTCTTTTCAGTAGAAGAATCAGATGACATAAAGGAAACTGGTCATGAATCAGGTGAGTATTAGATTGCAATAAACATTAAGACTGGGTTCACACCTGGGCGTATATTTTCTGCTTGTTTTTTCGCGGTTTTTAGAGCGTTTTTCAGTTCAGTGAAATGAGCGTTTCACTGGCGGTATGATTTGTTTTTTCTTATTTTGCTCCGCCCCCCCCTGCTCGCAAGGGACGGAACCCAGAAGTCGGCTGCCGCCGGAGGACACAGCGGGGATCGCGGACAAGGTAAGTCCTACGCTGTAATCCCGAGTGTGGCTCGGGGTTACCACTTTGTTAACCCCGAGCCACACTCGGGAATACCAATGGAAACACGTGGAAAAACGACCCAAAATATGCCCAGGTGGGAACCATGCCCATAGGGAAGTATGGGATTTCACTGTTTGAATTTCACTGTTTGAGCATTTTACAGCGCGTCGATCAGCGCTGTAAAATGCCCAGGTGTGAACCCGGCCTATGGGCCTAGTCACACTTGTGCATTGTGGCAACACACACTAAATCTTGCATTACCCCAACACATAGCAATGCTCTATGTACGGTGTGGTGCATCACGGTGCCATAGAACCCAGTTGCATTGTGCAGTAGATCACAATGCACTGCAGCACACCACAATGCATGTACTGTGTGTTGTGGTGTGCTGCAATGTTAAAAAAAGGTGATGCACCTCTTTCCATCCAATATTATTCTATATTATTATTATTAGTATATAGGATATAGGATTTATATAGTGCCAACAGTTTGCACAGTGCTTTACCAAATGGAGGGAGACAATACAATTAACAATACAATTTCAATACAGGAAGGTAAGGAGGGCCCTGCACATATGAGTTTACAATCTATACCAAGGCATCACAAATCCATTGTGATGCCTTGGCAGCCAATTCATGAAACTAACGTTTAGATGTAAATGGACCCTTAATATTTTATTGTGTAGTTTGGATGAGCTGAGTTTACGGTCTAATCTGCTTACCACAGTCCCACAACAACACATATACATAGGAACAGAAAAGCCTGAAATACCCAGAGCGAACACACACAAGCATTGAATAATTGTTTTTCTTCTTTGGAAAGCCAGTGCTTATTTTAAAAGCTTTTTTTTTTACTCTTTATATATTTTAACAGATGATGAAAGTAAAATTAAAGCACCCGGCCCTGAATCAGGTGATTATGAGATTGCAATAATGAGTAAATGTTTTATTTAGTTCAGATAATGGTCTTCCTATTTCTGCTAACAGTGTAATTGGTTCACAACAACACCCCAATACTTTCAAATTCCAAAGCTGCCAGATCGCACTGGAATGTAATGCAGGCACTAATGTGCCACGCGTTCGGGTAGGGGCCAAGCCAATTTACGTTGGAGTGCATTCCAAAGGCTGAACGCTCTGGAACGCACTCATTGTGGTGTCAACCGGCCATCAAGCACAAATAAAATGTTTTAAAGGCAAACGTTTTATAAGCTATTTCAAATGCTGATGAAATCACTTACAATGAATGCTGCTCCTTCATGTTGAAAAGTTTTAGCTTTCTGCCCAATAAGCTGGTCTCCTGAGCACTGGTCCTGACTTCCTGTTTTAGACCTCATTCACACCAGGGCGACAGCATTTCGGGGCCTTTTTTGCGGGTCTTGTATGTGCGTTTAAGCGCGTTTTACAGGCATTTCTGTTCATATGTAAGAGCGTTTTAAGGTGTGTTTTCAGCTCGTTTTTAGTTGCCCAATGAAAAGAAGTCTCAGCTGCAAACAAAAAGCATGAAAAAGTGCAAAAACGCACTGATCAGCGCATTTCCATTAAGGTCTATAGCTCAAGGACTATTTTAAACAACTGGCTTTTTTATGTGCGATTCAGTGCGGTTGCATGAATGGCCCCCATAGTAATACACAGGATTTTGAATTGAATGCGTTTCAGCACGGGAAAAAACACGTGATGAAATGCGCTCGTGTGTACGGGGCCTTAGAGTGGCTTCTTTCTCAAGCAGAGTGCTATGCAGTCACCCTTGCGTCTGCTAGTAAGCTGTGTGTGTCTCCACAAATACACTGACACACGTAGGCAAGAGAATCCCTTCCTCCCTGGCTTCCTCTCCTCTCTCCTCCATTCTCCAAGCTAGTAAATGAAGTCTGCTCTTCCCCTTGTGATTTTTTACTGAACAAGGAGTTCAGGGAAGCTGAGCTAAGAGACTGGGAAGCAGCTGTTTAGAAACTTGATGATTGTAAGTGTTTAGGCAAAAATGTAGAGCAATGTTTTGCAATATGTTATTGTTTGATCTGGATTCATTAAAAAAGTTTGAGAGTTTAATATTACTTCAAATATTGCCAATACCATAATGCCCTGTATGTATAGAGAATACAGAGGCTTGCTGACTTGCCAAGATTCACAGTTATTTGAACTTACAAAGAAGACACAAAATGAATCCAGGTTTTAGGTATACAGAGGATGTTTTCTTTTTAACATTTATTGAGGATCAAAACACTACACAGATTCCTAGCCCTGTCTTCTGGCTGGAACTATACTGGCTAGCAATTCTAGGGTTAAAGAATTACACAACATAACACAAGGGGCATGTAGAACATATCCAGTGCTAAGGCCGCTCTCGTTCCCTGACCGTGTTGTGATGTACCACTATTCATACATATGGAAGTATGCATATGATCTGTTGTTCATGAACTCAGGAGAGAGGAACAACAGTTCATACATGAGCCAATTTATGTAGGTAGGAAGACTCTAGACATATAATGGTATATACTGAAAGAGACACAGCACAAACATTGATTCACAGTTATTTGAACTTATCATTGTTCTTGGATTATTACATGCCAGAAACATGAACATAGATAAATCTATTACTTGGCAGTGGCACAACATCTTCTTTTAAATGATGTAAAGACAATTAAAATTTTGCAGTAATTTACTATTAACTAATTTTAAAAATCTGATTTTGCTGTTTCCTGATGTTAACAGATATCACAGAGGACATGGCAGACCAAGAAGAAGGTGAGTATAGGATGATGCATGTAGGATAAGGTCATTCCTCAATGGAGTTTAGAGTCTTATGTCTCTCTGCAAGGGTCAGATCAGTAAATGTTGGGTTTAGATTAGTTTATGCTTTGCTTTTATTTTTTCATACAAGTATGTGTGAATGCATGGCAAACACATAGGGGTCTATTCACGAAGCAGCCAAAGGATCTAGCTGTAGCTTCGGCCGATCCTTCGGCTAGCTTCGGCCCCAGGACCCCTTCGGTTCGGTAGAACCGAAGGGCTGCTGTACGGGCTATTCACAATAGCCCGTACAGCTCCCGAACTTAGCCGAGCCGGAGGCATATTGGCTGAGCGGCTGGCCAACAGCCTGCTTCTGACAGCTGGGCGGAGCCAGTCGTGATCTTACGGCTGGCTCCGGTCACTTGCAGAGAGATAAGCATCCCTGGTTACCAGCTAACCAGGGACACTGATTTCCAGACAGCAAACTCTCCCGGGCGCTCCGGGAGTCTCCCGCTCCCTGCCACCAAGGAGAGAAACACTGCTTTTTCTTTTTTTTTTCTTTATTCTGACACGGAGACTCCCGGAGTGCCCGGGAGAGTGTTTTTTTTTGTTTTTTTTTGACGGCAACAGAACCGCCGGCCAATAGAACATTGTGGGGCGGAGCTAGCTGTCATTGCTAACTCCGCACAATCGTTTTCTATTTATTTTTTTGTACTTTTTAAACTATTTTTCTGTTCTGCTCGGTCCCTCAGAGGGGCCGAGCAGAATGCCTATTCACTCACTGCTGTTCGGCATCTATAAGAATAGAACGAACAGCAGCGAGTAGCCTGCCGGAGGTTAGGCTTAGCCGATCCAGATGTTGGATCGGCTGAGTCGAACTGCTCCTGCACTTCGGGTCGGCCGAATATTCTGAGCATGTTCAGCCGACCCGAAGCCACGTGAAGCCACCCGCTGTACGGCTGATTTCAGGCGATATACGGCTGAAATCAGCCTTACCAGCCTTAAGTGAATAGCCGAACAGCGTTCGGCTCACTTCGCTTTAGGTCGGTCATTCACTCGGCTGCCTAGGACAGCTTAGTGAATAGACTCCATAGTGAACACATCTCAAGCACCATGTTTACTGGCCCATAGTCAGACAAAGACACATCCCAGATGCAGTTCATGAAGGACTGTGTACGGAATTACCTAAAATTGTTAAGGAAAAACCCAGACAGGGCCCAGTTTATTTATTGTGATTTTTGGAATTCTTAAAATATATATTTTGTTTTATCATACTGTGTATCTCTTGCTTTCAACTGTTACATTTTTTGTATTTCCACAGACGTTAGCATGAAAGGATCTGTCCTAGAATCAGGTACGTTTGATTTAAATGTACTACATTTTCAGGAATGTCAAGGCCAATTTTTTTTATAAAAACAACAGAAGTAAAGTCATGGAACTTGTTTTTGTCTCGCTTGTAAGGTTCTAACTGCATGCAAAATGTTTCTAACTTTATATAACCAGTATCTAAAAAGAATATTTAACTGCCTGTGTTTGGTACTTCAATGTTAGGTGTCAAATTCTGCAGTTTTTGAGCATCTCTGTATGGTTTTCCCTTTACATGGGGGGTGATCTTTACATTATTCTCCTGTATTAATCAGCTTTATTTGTAACAATATTTTTTAAAAAACTGGCAGCACATGTCTCCCAAATACAATCATCAATTAGAATCTGATGCTTGGCCTATTTGTCATCAGTAACTCTTGTCTGCGCAGTCTTCTTTATGCTTTACACTATATAAAAAAGACAGCAACTTTGGATATACTGTATATAGGGTAGTCATTTCAAACAGTGTTTAGATATTGGAATATAGTAACCCATCTTTTTCAAAGTATGTTCTTTGATTTTTTTATTAAATCTCTTGCACTCCCATAGATCGAAAGTATCAGTATTATTTATTTTGTAATTTCATGGAATAATTTGATAATGCTGTGTGTAAGAGCACTGAGTGTACACTGAAAGATTCTAGAGTGATATATGAAATACTTGGTGTGGCTGTATCGATTACAAAAAAACACTTCAGGCCTAGTCATTTATTAAAACATTCCCTTGCAATAGTCTATCTATTGGTTATTTTTTTTTATATTGGTCTATTGGATTCGTGTTTTTGTAAAATGCCTTCAGCCCTTGGTTTGGATAGTTGAGTATTGTTTTCTGATGTTGAATAGTTCAAATTAGAGTTATTATGCTTTTCCCTTGCATCAATCACATGTATGCCTAGGGCTGTGCATGCAGACGGTGTCTTAAAGCCCTTCACTATAATGTATGTCTGAAATGTTTCCTTCTAGAACACATTAGGGCTGGCTTTACATTTTGCACTTGTTTTATCTTGTGTTCTTTATTGTATTGGGCAAGTGCGTTGTCACTCATTAATGTGCACTGCCATTTCCATCAACAGCATTTTAATGCATGTCAATGCATCAAAAAACAGACATGTCAACGCACCACACAGATGAAAAGTATGAACATTACAAGTAATAGCAAACCTTTGTTGATGTGTGTTAAAATGCACAGTTGTGTATGGGCCCATAAGTGAACCTGTGTTTTTCACATTTAGGGCAAAGCAACAGGTTCCCCCTGATGGTTCTTCCCTGCCACTCCATTTGGCTGTCAGTGACCAGCCAAATGGAGAGTATTGGCCTTATTTTTTTTTTTTACAGGACTGTGGAGCCTGATTCCCTGTCCTATGTTACATTGAATGGTGTCTGAGTGGCCAGTTGGTAACAACTTCAGAGAAAGAGGGGTAGATCACATGCCCCATCATAATTAGAAGTCCTGTGTATCTTTCTTCAGTCTTATTGGCCAAACTAAAGCTGACCATACACACTTTCTATGGTCAGATGGAAAAAGTGCAAAATATTCCTCTATCTATGCTAAACTGTGTGGATGGAGGAATCTCCCACCGGACCAAGCTTCAGTACCTTGCTAGTCAGCCCAGGGGGCTCTCAAAATACCTGAACAATCTGATTGGATGTAGGCATTGTTCAGGTATTTTGAGAGCCCGTGGGGCCGACTAGCAAGATACTGAAACTTGGCCCAGTAGGAGATTCCTCCATCCACACAGTTTAGCATAGATGGAGGAATCTGTTGCACTTTTTCCGTCTGACCATAGAAAATCTGCAGATAATCTATAGGTTTATGGCCAGCTTTAGTGGGAGAAAAGCAAAGGCAAGGTGAGTATGTGCTGTTGGTGGGGTGCCTTTTATATTAGCCCTTTGCCCATGTAGGGCAAATCACAGGCTTTTTTTAAGAAAGAATAAGTGTGTGTATATGTGTGTGCTCCTATATCTTTTGTTTATTGCACAAACAAGCTATAAAGTTTACAGGTACATTGTGGAAGTGCCATCTCCACTCCCTAACAGAAGAGTCAAAGTACACAGATTTTTATGGCAAAGCATTGCAATAGCTGCATCTCTGTTAGGTGATCACTGTCAAATGTTGGTGACTTTATGTTACAGATTGCAGTATTAATCAGTTGTTGTTTGCTATTAAAAGTCAGCACTTTCTCTTTATGGTTTAAACAGAGGGCTCAGGGGACCCGGAGAAACCTCATCAGCATTCAGGTAACGGACTTAATATTAGTTCTTTTATATTGCTGTCTTATGCACTCTATGCTGATATTTATATTGAATAAAAGATAATCCGCTACGTTCCTAGCTTATCCCATACGAATTGCTGACAGTTTTTTTATTTTCAATTTAGAATACACACACAGCAAGTGGAAGTAACTGTCCCCAGTGGGGTTACACATAGCAATAAAAACCTGGCAGAGGTCATAATAAAATGCCTTTCTAAAACTGAAAACAAATCGTTTTGGCTGGAGTTTGTTTTTTAGAATAACATGATCGGATAATAAAGTGTGCCTTTTCTGTGCATCTGTTAGCAAGCTACTATGAGTGGTCGCAGCCAATATTTGCAAGAGATGCAAAAAAAAAAAATAAAGCTTAATTTGTATTGAAGGTTTTTAGTGCTGTCTGGGTACACTTTGGGGAAATTTCCCTGTTGATCACCTAGACAGGAAATTTGAGTAAAACATTCTAATGGGGATCTGAATCAGAATTGTTGTTTAGGTTTGCATTCCCTCTGCTTCTAGGAGAAGTTTCTTCCAGTAAAAATGAATGTGCATTCTGAAACCAGGTTATTTATAACTATATAACGGCCTGTGTGGATGGCCATTTGTTTGTGTCAGATGGGTTTTACATTCCAATACGAGTCTATAGGAATGTAAAATCCACTTAAAGCAGGTCAGTAGGTGGTCAACTGCAGGTCAAATGTACCTGTAAATTAGTTTTGAATGATCTCAGAAGCATCTAAAACTGATGCCATTGACACAAGACAAAAGTCAATATACACTTCCATAAATGTACCACTGCATCCTTGAGTATATGCATTGATTTATACCGGTGTACACTCTACACTTGCTGTGATCAGGATCTCTGTAATTTTTCTGCAGTTTTCACTTATTGCAGTTAGTGGATTTAACTACGCAATAATGAGACCTGTTAGCCAGATACAGCTGAGATGTTGTTAAATAGGCCTCAAGATATTTCCTTTATTTTACTCATAATATATCCCTTTAATTTTAGTGGAAGACTCAGAGGGAGATCCCCTGAAAGACCCGGGTGGCGATCATGGTAAGTACCATGGAGTACATGTGTATTACTTGCTTCTTTGGGAATCAGGAATGTTGGGGAGCCAATGGCTCAGCTTCAAGGTCACAAAATACTAGACCATAATGTAATTAATACTGTAAGTGGGGTTTACAGGAGATCATACAAGAATACTGGCGTGATTATTTAGAGGTATCATTACTTGCTAGGAAAATCATACACCTGCAGAAAAACTAGTATTTAAATACATCTGTGAAAGCACATATAATATAAAATAGCAAATGTGCATCTTGAATGGCTAATCCGGAATGTGTTTTATTTAGGTGTGTGTCATTAGTTATATAGCTTATTTAGTATCTCACGACATGATATAGTTTAGCGCAGTGGTTCTCAACCTGTGTAACCTCAGGACCCACATTTGTCCTTGGTCATTAAGTCGTTCTCAAAGTTACACTGCCATAGAATGCACGATGTGGGAGATAGAATTGTGTGTGGGAGATGCACTTGGGGTGTCATTTAAATGAATGGCAATTCACTGCACCTCCCACACCAGAACGTGCGGTAGGTGCGATTGCGTGGTACAGTATGTTAATCGAATGGGACTGTGTGATTAACACACTGTACTAGTATGAATAGACCCTCAAAAACACTGGCAGACACACAGAACCACAATTTCACACACTCACAGACATTCTCACACACACATATACACTTCAAAAACATTTTTTTAAATCCACCCAGTCTCCTACCTTACGAGAACTGGAGTGAATCCTCAGCCTGTGTTATGAAGGAGCTCCATCCATATGTGCATCCACTTGTACAGCTCCCTTGCACACACTGTAGAGGTGCCAGGAGCCAGAATGTGACATCACTCCATCAAGTCCGTGTACCCATCGCCCTCAGAGTCACTGCTCCAAAAATGGAGGGTGGGTGCAGCAGGTGACAGCGGGTGGCTTCCGACAAAATATCAGTAAAGGATGGACACCGGCACTCCAAAGCAAGTTCAGTATGTGTTTATTAACATATTAGTTGCAAGTAGAACACTCTATACAACGTTTCGGGGTCTCACAGCATCCCCTTCATCAGGCAAACAAGTGATGATCACTCTGGTCCAGGCACTTCTACTGGACAGGCAAGGGAGCTGTAAGCAATCCACATATGGATGGCGCTCCTCCGCGGCCATAGCCTTAGCCCACCCCACCACAAGCTGACACTCAGCATCGGGCAACATATTTTGAATGGCTGCTCGGCGCAAGAAATTACAGTGCTAGGGAGGAGCCTCTCACCTAGAAAAGTAGAAGGCATGTGGCGACCCACTGAAGACGAGGTCGCGACCCACTAAAGATGGGGGTCGCGACCGACTGAAGACGGGCTCGCGACCCACTGAAGACGGGGTCGCAAACCACTGAAGACGGGGTCGCGACCCACTTTTGGGTCACGACCCACCAGTTGAGAACCAAGGGTTTAGTGTAAAGAATGTTTTAGTAAGCTTTTGAAAGATGGAGGTAACAGTATAACATAGCTGCAAAAATTGTATTTGTGCACAGATAATAAGTTAACATGTCCATCTGGACTGCAACATATAAGCTCAAGGAATATTACAGCGTTAGCACGTGGCTCTTCAAAGATGACTTTATAAATATGGCAACCACAGTGTTGTATTGGGGTTGATTCACTAAAGAGTTTGAGCAGGTTGACTTGGCTTAGTGAATGAGGTTAAGCTAAGTGAACATTCACTTTGCACAGAATATCCAATTGTGTTCTAGCAAGATAAAAAAAAAAGAAGATATTTCTGCATATGAAGTCAGTACAGCTTCACTTCATTCAGTGAACTGAAAATTCACTTTGCAAAGTGTACCTGGTGCTCATCATTAATAAATCAACTCGATTGTCTCGTTGCATAGTTTAATAAGCCCCATGTGCATAACCCCATATACCTGTCTATGGCGTGACTCTGCCGTCTGCTTGCCCTGTGAAGTGTGCTAACAGCCTCCAAATGTTTGAGGCCTAAATGTTGCCATTTTGATAAAGACTTTATAGGCCATGTATGTGAGGGATGGTTGCAGGTTCATCAGAGGTTAGTTGTTGTCGTTTCTGTATTTCTGAACACATTGCATTCTGTGCAAACCAAGCCATCACAATTCCTAGATCCCAGTCACCGCAACGCAATTCGCCCACAAGTGCAGAATAATGCATTACATGCAAAAAGAATGTCAGTGCTATGTTAACAGTAGAAATAGAAATTCCACCATGCAGCCTGAAGCTCACATTACACATACAACACAATAAGTCAGAGTAGTAGATTGTTTCCCCTCAATCTCCCCCCCTGCCTGCTCTGTTCTGATTGCTACATAGTTAAGTTTAAATCAGTGAGAAGGAGCCTGAAGGCAAACAGCTTCTGCTCTGCTCTTTCTTTAGGAGACCCATAATGCTCTGCAATCCCTCACATAGGTACACCCTGTACTAAATTTATGACAGCAAACATTTATATAAATACAAAAAAATATATAAAACATCAGTTTTTAAACTTGTAAACTTAAAAAAACAATACAGTTGACCACAAACCATTATATCGTCTGTATCTTTAACCGCTTGCCGTCCGCCCGTTGTGTTTCATCGGGTGTTTCACATACAACCGATCGGCGAATGTACCGCAGCGCAAAATACTGAAAAATGGCCTGGACAGGAAGGGGGTTTAACACTGCGGACTTCAAGTTGTTAAATTGGTAAAATCTTAATTTCCTATAAGGTTATTTTTGTTCCAGTGACAAATCTATAGACCCTTTAACAGATAACTTTTTTAATGCATTGTGAAATGTGAATGTATCCTAAGTCTCAACCATATATATTTTAAAAATTGTGGTCACCTGATCACATGGGAGCAGTCTGGCTTGCAAGGGGAGGTTACATGACAGATACTGAATGTCACAGAAAGGGAGAGCAGTCAAGGTCAGTGGGGAGAATTAAAGTGTTTTCCACTCAAACTCATAGTTAAAGCCGACCTGTGACAAAGAAGCTGTGACAGGTCAGCTCCATTGATCCCAAAGTGAGCAGAAAGATGCAGCTGATCCGCTCACTTCCTGATCGTCTCCCTGCAGTGAGCGATGGCTGTCAGTCACTGCTCCCTGCAGGGATACCCACCTCTCCTCTCTGATCCTCCAGCACTGAGTGGAGTAGTGAACAGGGGAGGGGGCGGGCACAGCTGGATCTACCTCTAGATCGGCAGAGCCAGCTGTCACTCACGCAGCTGGGTGGATCCAGACAGTACTGTCAGGATCTGTCCCGGCTGTGGAGCTCTGAGTATACCGTGGGCAATAGACCGCTATATACTGAGCTTTGGGTCATGGGAGGAGGTTAATATATGTCCTTCCGTGACCCTAAAGGGAACTATGGGGAAAAACACTTACCCCACAGTTCTTTTTTAAGCTGCTGATAATCTTGTATTATCACTGTTTGAATAAGGGTAAGGTTTTTTCTAGGTACAAAGGGTACAGGAGCACTTTATTTTGGCACACATAGTGAACTCTTATGATTCTTTATATAGCTATGCTGTTTCAGGCTAAACAAAAGAAATCTAACAGATTTTGCCATCCACGCTAAACAGCATATATGTCAGAATACAGAACAGTGACTAAAGCTAATTGGGTGCAGTCACTGTTGGCCTACAATTTGCAGCCCACCCCTATTCACAAAAATCGATTTGGCAATTGACTTTTGTTGAGCCGCCAGGACTACCCAGTGTTAGAATTTGGCAGCTATTCTAAAGGTGCCCACACACCTTGCGCTAATCGTATGATAATCGTGGGAAATCCCGCGATCGTACGATTATCGCAAGGTGTGTGAAAGGCGTGCAACCGTTTTTACGTTACGGTTGCACTACTTTCTAAGATAAATGCCGCACGGGCCGGAGTGCACAAGCGCACACTGCCCGTTCAGCATTACTGTCATCGGAAGCCCGCCCCTCAGTGGGGCAGGCTTGCGATTATCGCAAGTACGATCTGGCTGTCCATGATGGGCGATGGTTGTAAGGTCTGTGGCCAGCATAAAGCTGGCTATAGACCTTACAATTATCTGCAGATTTTCTATGGTCAGATAGAAAAGGTGAAACAGATTCCTCCATCTACGCTAAACTGTGTGGCTGGAGTAATCTCCACCTGGGCAAATCTGTTGCACTTTTTTCATTTGACCACAGAAAATCTGCAGATAATTGTAAGGTGTATGGGCACCTTAACAGTGTATGGGCAGCTTCAGACCTTTCAACAGGTGCACTTTACATTTAATGGTCAGATATCCCGTAATTATTGAAAATGTAAATTTGGAGATTCTTTATAATATATTCGTTCTTTTTGGCTGTTTGTTATTTAAATAAACATCTCTGACTAAAATTGACTGCTAATCAGTTATGCAAATGAGACTTAACATGGTAACACTTTTGGATCACATTTTCTGAAATCTGAACATATCGCACTTTCACGCCAAAAGAGTTTTTTTTTTTTAAATCACATCTTTTTCCTTTATCTCTCTTAATTGCCAGAAAAAAAATGTTTATTTATTGTAGTTAGTGAAAGCTGTTATGAAGTATTACTTCAAAACTTGCTCCAGGACTAAAAATATCCATTTGGAAGTCTTCTTCCGAGTGAATTCCCACAGCTTCCTAATGGCCATTCACTAGGATGGGCCTCCTTACTATTCAGTAGAGGAGTTCAGGAAGCAGCATACTCCTGAAGTTTCCAGTGCAGCTAGAAAATATCAAGGTTTGCATATTAGAGAGCTCCAGAATCTAGGGGTTCCTTGGGCACTCCTTGGAGTATGTTTGTTTGTTTATTTTTTATTTTTTTAGTGTATGAGCCAGTTTACAAAGATTTTACCTGAACAGCTTTTCATAACCAAAAATAATATACATTCTTCTTTCCAGGGGCTAGTTTAGAAAGAATGTGTCCCACGTGTTAATTCCATATATAAGCATTAAAGGAGAACTATGGGGTTAAGGCTTTTCCCCATAGTTCTCCTTAGGGTGACGGGAGGACACAAACTAGCGTCCTCCCTTCACCCTAAGCTCAGTATACCACGAGCTACAGCTCGCGGTATACTGAGACGCAGCAGCTGAAGCGGATCCCGACAATTATGTCTGGATCCGCCCAGCTACGTGACTGACAGCTGACTCTGCCTATCTAGAGGCAGAGCCAGCTGTACCCGCCCACTCCCCCGTCCGATCTGCCAGTCAGCGCTGGTGGATCGGAGCGTGGAGGGGGGAATCCAGCCCCTCCCCTGTCACGGCAGAGAGCTGTGACAGGATCGAGAGGTGAGGGAACGCAGGTATGTGTTCGCTCACCCCCCGATCTACTGAGCCGACCTGTGACAGTCTAATTGTCACAGGTCGGCCAGAACTATGAGGTGAGTGAAAAGCACTCACCTCATAGTTCTCCTTTAAGGCCACAAGTGGTCTTTAAAATATCCACTTCTACTCTGACAAAGAAGGAATTCAAGTTAGCAATGGAAAATCAATAAATCTCTAAGAAGTAAAGCTACACTTATAATAATTATGTAAATAAAACAGCATTGTTTAGTCTGTTTACACTGCAAAGAAAGAATGCATTTGAAACAGCTGATGAAGAGGATTATAAAGGCTCTGCAATGTTCACATTCGTTTGCAATGGAAAAGTTCTGATTAAGGTATTCTGAGTTGACTTGCTGACTTAAAGCAGAACTCTGGGTAAAAAGTTTATTAAAACCCTTGCAGTGGGGCAACCCTCTGCATTACAAGGGTTAAGTGATCGTTTTTGCCTAGGGTCAAAAATCAAAAAGTTATACTTACCCAATCCTCTGAGGAGGCTTGCTCTTAGACCAGTCCCTTGAGCCTCTTTCCCCCTCCGCTGCAGCAGTGTAAGGTCCCCGAGTCATCATGTTCTATACACAACTGAGGGATATACCATTGCTGCAGCGAAGGAGGAGACAGGCAGGAGGGAGCGCTGTCACAGCCAGCCAGCATGGATGATCAGGTGAGTATAACTTTGTTTTTGCCTAGGATCCAAAGTAACAAACAAATATAATATAATAATTAGGGATGCACTGATACCGGTTTTTCGGTATTGAGTACGAGTACCGATATTTTGCTTTTGGTACTTGCTGATACCAAGTACAGATACTGGTGCTTCCGATGGCATGGAGCCAGCTTCCCGGGCAATCAGGAAGCCAGGCGGTGGGTAATGACATGCTGATTGCCCGGGAAGCTGGCTTCATGTTGTTTTGCTGGCTTAATTGTGATTGGCCTGGAAGCCGGCTTCCCAGCCAATCAGCATCGAGCCGGCTTCTTGGCCAATCAGGAAGCCGGCTAGCGAGTAATGACCCACCCCCCAGGCTTCATGATTGCCCGGGAAGCTGATTCAGTGTTAATTGGCTGGAAAGCCGGCATTCCTGCCAGACAGCATGGTACCAGCTTCCTGGTCATCAGGAAGCTGGGAGATGGGTCATTACTCACCGCCCAGCTTCCTGATCGCACAGGAAGCTGGCTCCATGTTCCCCTATGGCAGTGGAAGATTTCCTCTGACCGGAATTCCAGTATCGGGAAAGGTATCGAAACATTTGGGCAAGTACTCGCCCAAATACTCAAGTATCGACATCCCTAATAATAATATATTTGATAAAAAAAAATGTTTTAAGCATGTAAGTTTTTATTGAGGTTATATACAAAAGATGATTTATACAAGTGGCATATCAATATGAGTACATCAGACATCATAAACTGTAATATTAAGCACAAAAATGGTATTGCTAGATGCCGTACATGAAACCATACAGTAATGAAACCATTTATGTGAGCATTTATAATAGCTTTGTTTGATAATCTGTCTCCAATACATTCCTTCCGCTTTAAATGTATCTGTTAAGTAAATATGATAGAAGGTAGAAGAGTTAACCAGAAGAAAATGAAAATTTGTTAATGTGATGTCGCACGATTAGAGAGATAGATATTTTCTCTTTTTTTTTTACAAAAATATTGTCCCTCAGCAGAAAGAATAACGGCTGGTCGCATGCACCATTCAGAGATGCTGCTGTTAGCTCACCCTGTCACCAGATCTGACAAATGAAACTCAAATCTTCAATAGTAATCCAGCTAAATAATGTATCAATATTGATTGATAAACTCCCTGTAATGCAAACAAAGCTGAGGCTAAGCATTATTTTCTTAGACCACAGACATGTGTAACAGCTGCCAATTTGCTGAGTACAGGATCAGCAGACATTTTCAAGTTTTGCTTCTTTGATTGTTTACATAGTAAGCTTGGCCCATCTAGGTTGGTGTTTGTTACTTATTATTACTCTGAGTTTCACATCCTTCCATGTGTTCCCATTGTCATGTGATTAAAGGTACATTGTTTTTAAAACTATTTTTCTTGGTTACTCCACAATTCTAATGGAAGCTGTCCAACTGTATTATTCTGGGTATTTATAAAAATACCCAGACTTTTAAATACTTGATAGAGTTATACTACATTTTGACTGCAACACAGTGTTTTGGTATACACACTTTTCTTTCTCAATTTTGTCCTGTTTCTGTACGGATGAGAATTTAAGAAAAGACTACGCCTTCTCTATAAAGCAAACCTATATGCAAATGCTAAATTAAAGCTGCATTAAAAATTATATCAGTGTGGATAAATAAAAGGTCATAGAATGACCAAAGTGCTTCCATTTCCTGAAAAAAAAACCTACTACAGGCTTGATCCTAGACATTTGTTAATGTGACCTCAGCTGTTAACATTTTAGTATAGGTGCTTTTTAAATATTTGTCCTTTGTCTACATTATCATAAACAGTAACCATAATGCATACATTCCTTGTAGAGTACCAATGCATAATCATACCCTAATTATGTTCTGTACATCTCAAAAAATGTATTAACCTTTGCTTTAGTAGACAAATTATTCTTTCTCAATTGTCACCCGAAGAGAGTTAATTAACGGTACGTTTTTAGAAACATTGATTTAAAGGTCATTGGTATTTCTGGTTGTGAAAATTAACATATTTTTACTGAATATTTAAGTAAAATTTATCAGGGAGCAGGAGGGCCTGTTGTTTATAGCTGTCATTTGATGCTAAGGCAAGCAAATGGCAGCTATAGGCAGAGTTATGTGACTCCACTGCCAAAGACTGGGGTCACATCCTTGTGTCTTTGCTATAGAATAAGGGGACACAAGTAGCTTTTTGTTTTACAGTATGATAAAATTAGCCAGGATTTTAAAGATGATATAATTTTTGCTTCAGTAAATTGCTTTTGCATTCTTGATCCTCAAGGCCCCAATCTAAATAGCTATAAACCTCTAAACATTTACAAATCTAACATGTGGTGCCTTTAAAAATAAACTCCAGATTTGTTAAGAAAATAGCAATCCCTTCCAGCAATGCTATCGATATTGCAAGAATCCATGCTTTATTAAATAACATAACCTATATCCGTATAAGAGTTGTAACAAGAAACGATGCAGTCCTAGTCCCTAGACAAGCAAGTCTTGCATGTGTGAAAGTATTTTAACACATGTAAAAGGGGATGCCAATAATTTGACATCAATCTCGCTGCAGAATTCTGGGCAAAGCAGTGAGCCAATCAAATGAGGAAGCAGAGGGTAATTCTGGGAAGTCCTGTACACAATTACTGTTTACGGAATCATAACTTGCTATTGGATTGTGCATTCGGGTGTAAATGTACTGTAGATGGTTTTGGTGGTAACATATTAGCTATATTAGATCACTATCTCAAGTCTGTTGGCAGCACTAGAAACTTATCTTATCTGATAATCAATGGTATCTATATACAACATTTTTGAACTGTAAATAGCACTCTACTGTATTACTAAACTTCATTTTGCAATGGAAGAGAGTCATTGAGGCAGAAGCTATATGTGGTTCTTCCAATCACAATGTATTTCGGAAAGGATATTTTTAAAGAGTAAGATTTAAAGCCTACTTGCCAGGGACCTATTTGAAGCATGTTTATCTAGCTGGGCATTAAGCTGTCAACTGTGATGCAGCTGAACACCTTTGATGTTGGGCAGTTAGTCAGGTATTGAGCAGTTTGCTGCCCCTGGACTTCAGCTTCAGTGTCAGAGGTAAGATGTCATCAAAAGGCATTCAGGGAAGGTGGGCATTACTTTTGTTTTAAATAACTAGGTCTTTTTTTAAGGGAAGTATGTATTCCATTGTCTGAACAAGATAAAAAATGCTACCTTTGCATGCGGTGTCTAAAAGGTTGTGAAAGAATTAGTGATGGTGATGCATGACAGCTGAGCTGTCACACCTCACCCCTCCAGATACTAACCTGCTAGAACTGCCATGGACACAAGGTCTAATGTAGGCTTTAAACTTAACCGGTGGTTTCCTCAAGCAGGGCATAGCAACAGGTTGACTTAACCATTGCTCTACCCAGCTTAACATGCTCACCTTCCTTTTGTCACCATGTTACTTTGTTCAGCTACTGTGAGTGAACAGAGCAAGTCCTGACATAGATCTTACATAGGGCTGAAGACTTTCTCTTCATCCTCAGATGACAGCGCCGAGTGTCCAGCCAAGCACCAGGCCTAAGAGTTGAGAGGAAGATGAGCGAAATCACATTCTCCTTACACCTGAAATACTGACTTTTTTTCTCTTCGCTCATGGCAGCCAAATGTAGCAGCACAAGAAAGAGAAGACAATGTGATTATGTGCTGCTGAGGAAGAGGGGAGTTAAGTAAACCTCATGCTTTTCCATGCATGGGCAAAACACAGGTTTACTTTAAATCTGGTACTTCCATAATGCCCTAAATATACCTTAAAGTCCACTTGCAGTGCTTAATATTTGGCATTTCCACCAGTTGCACGGCAGAAAATGCTGCACTG